ACTTTTGAAGGAAAATTTCAGAAATGCGGTCGAAATGAGTGAGTTGAAAAAGATGGACAGACCTATGGGAGCATCCTCGGCCACTGTCACACGAACGATTTCTTCGTCAAAATATGGCGAATCGACGGATCCGTTTCCAATTTCGAACTCGATCAGTTTGCTTTCCGATTCATAATTGGATCGATTAATTTGATTATAGGGAATCGATAACTGTTGTCCGGCAAGATCACGAATCTTTCGCATTAAATAGACGTCTCCAGTGGATTGATCGAGTTCAAAGAGGTCCGACTGAAATTGCCTAATTACTTAATGATTAACAACTGGAACCAGCTGATTTTTGGCAATCACTAGTCGACAAAGGGCGAATAGTTCCAGAAAGAAAAAAGCCCGAAAAGTTATAACAAAGCAGTTGTTGAAACCACAAATTGGCTATTAACGCGAGTGTTCAAAAGATTACCTCGTTTCTCAGCTGATAATAGAAGGGCCGGTCACCCTTGGACTTGGCCTTCGGGGCCAAGCTGGCGATTTTTGAGCCAATCGGAAGCAGTGGAGACAGTTTGATAGGATCAGCTGGTGCCTTAATAAACAACAAGATGCCATTTCAAAATGTCTATTTTGAAAAACATTTTTCCATTTACGAATTCGTTCACGTTTCTGTGCAGTAAACGACAGCAGGATAGTCGTCGCAGATTGATATATACTCAGAAAAATGCATCACACGCCATGTTCTAGAAGTAGTGCGTAGCCACGCCCCTCCCATTTCAGGATATGGGGTGTAGAATGCGTACAGTATCTCAGAAAGAGACCAATCAACGGCAAAAGCTTCGAGCTTAGAGTTTCAATACGCCCCAATCCGCTTTGTCTCCAAGGGAGCCATACCGCCACCGAACGAAGTTGCATTCCTGCTGAATGGCTGTCAAATATCATTTACCCCTTATCATCACTGCCCTCTTATCATTTACCTATAAAAGTAGATACTGCTCACGATGAAGCAATTGTATTGTTAACAACACCTATTACTCACAGAACCACAGTCAGCGCTTTTGATTGCATATGGGATATCTGTCCACGCAGCACATCCTTTTCATGGATGCGCCGGTCCACTTCTGTATACAGTAAAAAGGGGGTGCACCAATTTGAATGGAAACGCAATATGAGCCATTAACTAATCTCTCGCCCGTAAGAGGACATGCGTCTTATTTTAAACAACAGCATGTTGAATCACATGGCCAGGGCGGAGGTGACACTGCGATAGTACAAGGGTCCAGACGAACGCAGCAGCGAAGAGACAACTCCCTCTGAAGAATAAGTAAGCTAGACGCTCGGACACGGCAACCCACACGGCCTAGGATATGTCACGGCCATGTTTGCAAAATGCCTCTACGGCCTAGGATATTGACCATTTTGTACAACAGCACTAACTATAAGGCAAGTGGAGTTGCCGGTGTTTGCTTACTTTAGACTCTAGCCAGAGGAAAATGAAGCTACATAATTCACTAAATGAACTCTTAATTAAAGTTAAGTCATGTTGCAACGAATTTCAGGGACAGCAAATGTCGCGCAAAGTCTATACATACTGAATTTAGGTTCTAGCACGACGTATTGGAGATCGTAGTTTCTGTTGCCCATTCTTATCAGAGAGAATCAGCGACAGCGACCATGGTGGTGGCTGACTAGGAGGAGAAATCATCGATAGTTTCCCATCAGCAATTGAGAAGTGATTCGACACATCTGAACGGAAAAAAATGGTAAAAGTGCTCCATAGAAATAATCCTGTGATTTCAAGATTAATAAAAAAATGATCGAGGTGAGGGGTTGATCCAGTCAGCAGAATGTCTCACCCAAGAACCCGCAGGTCTACAGGAAATTCATCAAGAATGCCATTCCTCTTTGGTCGCATGGGCGGAGACGCGCCCACCATTGCGACTTCCTCACTGGTGCGTTCCTCCTTTGCAACATGATGAGAAGGAACGTGCCAGTGAGGAAGATACAACGACTGATCCCGCCCACACAACCGGCGTGGAATGTTTTGTTTTTTTGTTTTCAAAAAATTACCGTTGCTTTGAATCATCCATTTTGACACTCCAGTAGCATTCAGCTGTCGTAGAGTACATCCGGATGTTAGGCATCCATTTGGCATACGAATATTCCTGAAATTCTGAGATCGTTTTCACAGCAGTGAACACTTTGCCATGGACATATTTGGGATACAATGAAGGGAGCTACTCGGCTTGGGGTATGAGCGATTTTGCGCTGTTGCTATTTCCCATCGTCGCCTTTATTCCCTTATGAGAGTCGACAAGTATTCTCAGCAAACTCTGACTGGTATTACATCCTGACTTGACAAAATTTCACACTTGATGGCTAGACACGACGATGGGAAGTAGCGAAAGTGCAGAATGTCCCCGCCCCC